TTTTGACATAATATAAAAATTTCTGTTGCTCTTTACATTGTGTGAACATTTCATGATGAATGGACTAAAAGAACCCAAAATGACTTGGAAAAACATCTGGTTCCATTGACTTACATTAAAAGTAAAGTAGGTTTTTTCCTTCTCCTGTAAAGTTATCATTTTGGAGATACGAGGTTTTCTTCCGACAACAGCGATATCCTGCATTGTACTTTTATTATGAATTGCTTTATCATTAAACATTGCGAATGTTTTACCCATATGTGTCCCATCACAGTGAGTCTAAGAGCCAGAACAGGACTACTTATTGTCTCCTTACTTTTAAGCTTCAAAAGTGCCTCATTCAGAGACTGTTCTGTCCTGTTGGACTGCTGTTTCACTTATTAGAATTTTTATTATTATTACTGAAAGTAATGTCTTATACATTAATTTAGAAGTAATACTTTACCCATAATTCCCACATTGTCAAGTTATCTGCCCTATTTGATGAAGAAAAAAATACTTGATCACCATTTCTGAAATATGAGGCATTCAGGATTATAACAATTTTGTTATAACGTTATATAACATTATGGCTGTTAATTCTATTGCAACATCATAATGGCTATTAATGATATTAGATCTTCTTCATGAACATTCGTTTAAATAAAACTTCATTCTGGATATTAGTTTCATTAGAACTTCATTCTACAGCCTTTTCAGTCAATTAAAAATCTTCAACAGCTCTGTTCCTCATTTTGGACACATTTAACATTCGTTCATATTTTACAGCTTCATATTAATTGTCTGAAGCCTGTGAAATTGTACAGGATGAGCAGATCATTGTATATGTTTATCTGCTACCAAAACTAGTTGTATATTACTGAAAACACTGATTTCAGACTTTTGAACAATAGTGTTTTGATCCATATACAGATCAAAAGCACATTCAACCTGAATTATTAAAGCTTTCCCTTTTGATTCCTACACAACAATGTCAAGTGCAGGAAGAAATTCTCGTGCTGTCATGATGAAACCACTGAGCCTTGACTATGGAATGTTTATGTCTTTCTTGTGAGAAATTTGTTTTACTACTAAATCCACAACACAGTCCTGTCTAGCTGTATAAAAACCTCTGGAGGGACAACATCTGTTTAGAATGTATGCCACATGGGTCTGCATCATGCACCAGACTTTGTTTGTGGCCAGATATCAGAGTGAATATATTTATGTGGGGTGAACTGATTCAGAATCTTCCTCATCTCGTGCGATAAGGTAACATCTCAGTTCAGTACAGAAATGCCTTAATGAGACTCAACGTATATATTGTTGCTGTCCAATGAAAAACATGTCTCTCCATTTTTTGCAGTTTTTGCTTTTCTGCATCATTTGAGCTCAGCAGCTGTCCTTCACATTGTGTGAAAATTTCATGATGATTGGACCAATAGAAATGCTCCAAAACTGCTTAGAATAAAATGTCTTTACAGTAACTGACATTGAAGGTAAAGAATGTTTTTGCCCTCTCCTATAAAGTCACTATTTTGGAGATACTTGTTTTTCTTTGGACAGTGACGATATATTAATGCTTCCACTTTCAGTTCAGTTCAGAATTCAAGATTAGCAATCTGCACACTAGACTTTGCAAGTTCACGCCACCTTGCAGAATTGGTGAGGACGAGGCTGGTCCAGAAGATGGTGAACAAAAAAATCGCTCATGTTGGTGCAGTCAGCAAGCTAGCTAACTCACTGACCATCAACAGAAAAAACAGAAAAGTAGCGGCAATGGGGTGACTTGCGCGCAGCTGCAGTTAGCCAACAAGCTAACATTGCAGGTAGCAAGCATTGAAGATAATAATACAGTCTCCTTACTGACCATATCACACAGTCTCTCTTCTGCATTGAGCATTTTTTACATTTTGGAAGCTCTGTGCTGCGAAGCCCCAAGATTAACACTAGCACCAGTAGCACTACTGGTCAAAAATGCAAATTTGTTTGTTAAAGTCAGCAAAATTCACACATATGAAATTCATTCGACCTGGAAGTCGAGTGCAACATGAAAGTGTTCAGCATGGCAAATTCCTTTGAAATGAATGGAATTTTGCTGGCAAATGAAAGCATGCCTGGGTCTTATAAGTACAATATTCAAGACTTGGCGCAGTGGAGTTCTGCCGAATCCATTCAGACTGGTTTCTTTGCAGCATAAAAACTCTAAACAAAAGCTGTGCTTTATAATGTAGCAAAATTAAACATGGCCAATTAAAAAAAACAAGTAATATTATTATAATATTATATTATATTATTCTTTAGTTCTACTGACAGAGAAGGGTGATGAGTGGACATTCCAACAAAATCATGAGCTAAACAGCCTAGCACAGAGCTAACAAATTGGCCACAAGCTTACAAGCTAGCAAGTTCATTCATGAGATCTGAATTTACATGCTAGTCAGAAGCTATTATGTTCTTCCCAAGCTAATGTACAAGCCATGATCTAACACACTAGGCACAAGTTAATATACACTTCTGTAAAGTGTGCTTTCCTCCTCTGCTTTTGAGGTAAAGAGGAAGTCATTTTTTCAAGAGCCTTACACAATCTGATACAACATGTTAAGATGTATTATTACACCCCTAGTATTTCATAGAAAAGATCTGAAATTGCGTCTCCATAGTGAAAATGACATGAAGACACAGGCAGGAGCACTACAGTAAACGGGATGTGTTCTGGAATGATCTGAAAATAGATGGCCGACTAGCTTTCCTTGCAGTTTCAATCCAATCCAATGTTGTTGTTGTTGTTCTTTTGTGTACATTTAATTTTCAGAATCCATCTTCATTGTTTTTGACTGTAGTTTATGAGCTGTTCCATTATAATCTATAGTCTACATCCTTCACAAATGCATCACCCACATCCACCTACCTGCATTCAGCTGTAACACATCTCAACATGCAGAACATTTCCAGAGCGGCAGAGCTTCACACTGACAGCACACGGAATTCAAACCAGCAACGCACACACATAGCAGGGGTGTATGAATGCATTAATGGATTATGATGCTTTTATCTGAAGGTGGCAAATCAACTGCATCAATTATGGAATGAAAGTATCAACTATAATTAATTATAATTATATTCAATAATACAAAAATAATATTTAATTATGAATAGGCCACAAATAAGCACAGAGGACGCGACGTACAAGCAGTGCAAAACACAATAATGTTAGCCTTCTGTGTTTGGCTAAATGTCTGAGTCAGGGATGTTTGAGCACTGTTTCAAATCCCGCTGTCTAGTCCAGTGGATCTGAAGTAGTTCTCTTTGTTTTTGGAAGAACACTTAAAGGAGTGGCTGGTATTTGGGTTTACCCTTAGCCTAACATGGCCTAATAATGTTTCTTACAGATTCGTAATTGTACAGATTCATTGTATGGTTAGAGAGTTACACCATCAACACATACATCCACAGGTTCATGCAAACTAGTAATATAATACAGGGTAATATTCATTTTTTCCAATACAGGGGTTGTTTCACGTGTTGCAAAAATAAGGACTGGCTGGGGGGTCTGAGGCCAGTTTGAGAACACAGTCAGATTTTGTACTTTAAAAATATTTGTGAAATTGGATATACTGACATAAATCTGCGGTGGTTTTCACTACAGATGGCCTGAAATTTTAGCAACCGAAACACTTCAGTCGAAAAGTGGTTAAAAGTGCCACTTTCGATTTTCAGCCGAAAGAGAAAAAACTACACTACAACGAAGTGTCAAACTTAACAAATAATTTTAATGATAACAAAAATTAATAAAACACTCTTTTTCTTTGTCACTTTTCTGCACCATTTAGCACAGATGCGTTCAAACAGTTGGAGCAGCAGCAGATTAAGGGGTGGTGAGGGGGTGGAGTTTCTATTCTAGAAATGATGAAAAAATTACTATTGTTATTGTTAAACTATGGTACTATTGTGCCAAAGTGCAAAATATAACTAAAACAAAAAAAAAGGAATTCAATGCCTTGAATGATTAACCGTTCTCCTTTATTAAGGACGCTGGATTTCGTGGCACATTCTGCATCCTACATACTGTAATAAATGTATTATTTAATTTGTGTACATTGATTTTATTAAGTAAATAAGGTAAAACCAATGTTGGCATTTCTTTTTTACTTCTTTATTGAAAATGTGGTGCAAAAACCACGACACCTATTGAATTATGAAATTTACACCCTAATGCATATGCACACACACACACACACACTCTGAACATCCACATGCTTCATGAGCTGCAGCCTCACACCAAAAGATCCAGCATCAGGTCCTCCTCCATCCCATAATCCCTACTGTTTGATCATCAGGAGTGCTAATACCGAAGGGAACTGCAGCCTGGCTTTAATCAGTACGCTCCCTTCTGCTTAATGCCTTTATTCACACATGCAGGAGCACAGCCTTGCCATGGATATCGCTGAGTGAGCAGCACATCCCATTACAAACTCTCTCTCATCAGCAGAGTGGGGAAGGACAGGCATCGAGTGGAATACAGTAAATTAGATTACGAGCGATATGAGAACTGTGTCACCGATACGATACTGATTGTAGCGAGATCAATGTTAATATCTCACAATATAATTTTACATGATTTACACAGACTATTTTAGTAGTTTCAGTTAAAGAGGGCTGATATGACGTCAAATATGATTATGGCAGTTCTTAAACTCAATTAAACAGAAAATATAACACGTTTAAATAATATCACTATAAAACAAGCTGCTTATAAATGTCCTTAGTCCACATTCAAACAGACCAATAACACAACCTTTTCATCTAGAGTTTCCTTACGACAGTGTAGCTGTTTTTTGATCAAAATAGCACCTACACATTTATCTATTATAAAATTTAAAGAGATCATATCATTACTTTATTGAAGGGAACTGAGGGAGCTGATGCCAATAAATCTGCAGAACTTTAATACTGGCCAATTGTATCAGTCAAATGGGACCTACAACAAACAGAGCTGTGAAGAGGAACGGCAGCTTTACCTCCCCCACCATGCCGTTCCACACGCCGTCAATCTTCTTCCCGTGTTTTCCATTGGTCACCAGGTAGAGGTCATAGGTGAAGCCCACGATCCTGGCCAGCCGCTTCAGGATGTCGATGCAGAAGCCCTTGCAGCACTGTTTCACTGGAGCAACGCCTTCCTGAAGAGCCCTACGAGCAGAGAGAAAGAGATCAGACAGGACGGTGTAAAATTCATATCAAGATCTCAGTGGTCAAAATGATCACAGTTGTTCGTATTATCGCAGTAACGAATACACTGAAAATATTTAAAAAAGCACTAAAACACACTGAAATCATTTCGCCATAGCTATTATACTGACAGACGACTTTTTTATGAATCACTTCATATTTCTTTACAACGCTAAAACACTACGGCTACAACTTACATAAATATGAAATTATCCCTAGCACCACTGCTGTCTAGAGGCCTGCATGGGCATGACATTGAAGCCTGAGTCCGACCCATATCCACGATTTTGAGACCTGGCTGGCACTGCTAAACCTGACTCCAACCCAACGAGATGGACTGTCAGACACAGATTTACAGTGTTTTGCCTGTTAGTAACAGCTTGAGATGACATAAAATAAACAAAACTCTACACAGTTTTCTGAGAGCTGAGCATTCACTGTAGCCGACACTGACTTGAATGGCGCAAGGAAGAACTCTGACACTGATTTTGTTTTGGGCTTGTAGCTACTGTGGAACAGCTGCAACTAAAGTCAGTGTGTCACTAAAGGTGTCCCAGTCCTCCTGTTAATGTAGCTCACAATACTATCGCAAGCTCTACACTGTACGTGACCAGTATGCAATATCTGAAATAACAACCAGGTCATAATCTCTCCACAGTGTAGACATCCCTGAGTTAAAACAGCTCCCCTTTCAGTGAGCCTTTTTTTTTATTCCATCCGTAGAGAACAGTTAGTAAGACCAGCTTTTGTTGCACACATACCAGTTTGTAGCTATTTTGCTATACACATACTAGCTTGTATGGCTAAAGGGGTTTTGGAGGAATCCATGCTATTGGACACTGTTGTTCCACTGGTGGCTGTAGGTCTGGGTCAGCTTTAGCCAAGGACTAAGCACCAGGTTGAAAGCTAAAGAGAAATACAAAGTTGTCCAAAGTTCACTGTACTTGTGCACCTCTTAAAATAGTTATATTAAAGGGTCCTTATTGGGCTTCTGGAATTCTGGATGCATTTAACCATTTTAGGGTCCTTCATTCACTGCTGCTGTTTTTACATCAAATTTTTCTGGGGAATTTTATGATGTTCGCTGAAAGGACATCTCAGATCTGCTTTAAAAAATCAGTGTAATTAGTTGATATGGAATGAGTTGCAGTTAGGATGTTAATTAACCAAGATCACCTGAGATTGAAATAAGATACCTGTGGAGAGTATATACCACTATGCACATATCAAAGATTTTAATGCAAAATGTTAAAGTAACTGGTAGGTAATTTAACTACCACTTATAGTAGTTAAACCATTCAGTCAAATCATCCTTGCTGCTAGATTTGTAATAAAGTATTTATTAAGTAGTATTAATAAGAACACTTGCATATGTTATTTAAATTATGGGTGACACTTTATTTTGAGTGGTCCTTTTTAAATGAAACAAACATTCATCAGACTCTTAGTAACATGTCAGAAACATGTAAGGGTTAGGGTTAGGATTAGGTTTTGAGTTGAGGTTAAGGTTAGGATTAGGGCCAGGGTAAGGGTTAGGATTAGATTTTGGGTTGAGGTTAAGGTTAGGGTTAGGATTAGGGCCACTGTGAGGGTTAGGTTCTTTAATGGAAGTAATATATTAACAATACATCTTCTTAATGTAAGTAATGTATCAACAGAACATCTATAAGATATTTACTTCAGTGTATTCAGATGCTTCACTGCTGCTACTTCACTGATATATTGTTGATGTATTACTGATAATCTGTTAAGAGTTTATTAATCATCTACAAAGGACCACCCCAAATCAAGTGGCTGTATGAAAACACAAAAATTGGATCGAATCACCTCTATGAGGTGAGTGTGAGGTGTGAGTGTGGGGTATGCCTGGGAGAAATTTTAAAATGTTATTTTCTTGTTAACAAATCAGGGCTATATGTCGTAAAGCTTACTATCTTTTAAGTTACTATTAAATGTTCATAGCCATATTTGTTAAAAAAATAAATAAATAAATACTACACAAAAATATATTCATTAGAATACAAGCACAAGCCCGACCCGAGCCTGATGTTGTTCCAGCTTGTGCTTTTCAGGCAAGCTGTAGTAGCAGATTTACTTCCAGAGTGACTGTTTTAAAAAATGCTAATTGTACACAGAAATCAGAATCATAAAACTTCAAGTGGGGGCTCCTAAATAGCGTAACTGTCTAAGTGTTGGCTCTACCATCAGGATGTTGTGAGTTTCAAGCTAAAGCCATACGTGGCTGGGAATCCAAGAGAAAACAATTGGCCTCACTCACTCTGAGTGGGTAGGATGGTCCTCCCTATCCACCATCACTCAGCACAATGCTAGCCAACGTGGGCGTCTGTTAGCTGAATTGGCAGCTAGCATTTTCCTCCAAGTACATTAAGCTGTCCAAAGATGCTGTGTTATTGGCAGTTTGAAAAGATGTGGTGGTGCTTCATATGACTCGCCTTCACTCTCCTTGTGCTGGTAGCACTTGTGACTGGGCGAGAGTTAGTTGGCGAGTGGAACCGCAAATGGCTAAATTGTGGAGAAAATTGGGCAAAAGTAGCAAAAAACAAATAGTATTATTATAGTTTTATACAAGAGGGAAGTCCAACGACACAGTTTGATCGTTCAGAAGTGTTCTACCTGCGCTGTTAGCACACTTTTTCGCAGTAACTATCATTCTGCTGAGCACTGGTTGCTAAGTAATGACTCACTTTGTGTGGTAGCTAATTATCACTGCGTTTCTACTTGTCTTTAGCACATACAAACACAGAAAATAGACACACTGGATAACTTCTATACGACAATATTTGACCTACAGCCCATTTGCCCAGACTCTGAAGAAGAGTGACAGACGGTCTACCTCAAATTGCGAACATGTCGTTAATCCTAATTGAGCTTTTTTGCTTGACAGCTGTGAACAAACTAGAATTCGGCAAAGAAGATGGGCTGTGAAATGCTTTACATACTGACTGGAACAAAACAACATTAAGGTTAACCTGACAATTAATGAAAAACTGAGATGAATTCGATATTGTGACAGTTTTATGGATCCATACTGCAAAAAGGCAGAAAGAAATGAACATTAAAGCACATTTCATGCAAAATCCAGGTGTTCTTCGCTTTACTTTCTTTATTTTGCCGAACTGTTATATGAAATCAAAAGACTTTTCATGTTATCGCAAATAATATACTTTCCCTCATGAGCTATTGCTTAAGTACACCACGATGTGTCATTAAAATCGGTACCGTCTGATCCCTAGAAGGGATGAAGACAGAGTTTTCACTTAACTTTATTGCACCAGTTCGCAAAATGTATCACCTTAATAATTACTCCTGCGCAGGACTGAGAAAGATAGAGAAAAAAATGAAAAATGAGAGCGAAAGAGAGAGAGATAGTGAGATAGAGAGAGATATAGTCTAATCAGTCTGACGGTGTAGGAGGTAGGTAAAAGAAGAGAATAATGAGATGAAGAAGGAAAGCGAGAAGCAGAAAGCACGCATAAGCATCGCCCTGTGCTTTACTGAACCTTCAGAAGACTGTAATGAGACAGTAGTCAGTGCTGCTTTACACACACACACACACACACACACACACACACACACACACACACACATACAGGAATGCACACAAACGCAGGGCCAGTATGAGTGCAGTGAGGCAGTATCCATATGAGACACATTAATACCTCCAGCGCTCCATGAGATTGACAGGCTACATGATGAGCGAGTGTGGGCAGAGATGGCCATAAGGCAAACACATAAAAATGAGGGGGAGAACGAGGGAGCGAGAGTGACAGATCGATGGAAAAACAGCAGCGGTGAATGTAGCCCCCGGACCCCTGCAGCCCCGCCTGGGCCTAACCTGGCAAAGACAGTGAGAAACACAGACAGAATGGAAGGGAAATGAAAGAATGTGACAAATGGTGTTACAAAAGAAATCTTCTTCTAGCTCTGGCCCAAGATGGCGGACGAGAGGACACGCTAAAAGAAAACCCTCAAAGCGGAGCCATCGGAACTGTTCCGGGGTCCCTCAACTTGACCTTGTAGAAAAGCTTCTGCAAAGCACCACCATTAAGGGACAGACACTGTATGTTCAAAGGTATCTAGACACCAGTTCGCCCAGTATTTCATCCAAAATCAAGGGGGTTAATAGTGAATTTATTCTCCTGTGCTGCAGTAACAGCCTCTAGTCTTCTAGGAAGGATTTACGCTAGCTGTTGGAACACTGAGGATTTCCATTTAGCCATGAGAGCGTCAGTGAGGTCAGTACTAGCCAACTATGTGTGGAGCTCCAGTACATCTCATAGGTATTCCATGGAGCTTCATCCCCTCATCTCATCCCAAAGGTGGTATATGTTTCAAGATTTAAGGCCTGAGATTCAATATTTATTGCCAAGCCAAAGCAACTGATTGGAATTTGGCTTATTGGGCTTATACATACAAGAGAATATGTATGTCAATAGGGAACAAAACCAGATGACTGACAGGAAAGCCGATGACGATGCTGCAAAGGCAATAATCTCTGTGATGACTGACAGAGAACTAGAATGACTGTAAACAGCTTGCTAAATAATAATAAATAATGTCTGTGTGCAGTATTTTATTCTCTTTTACTGTTAAAGCAATGGATTATTATGAGGCCCTGAAAGGCCATAAGGCTATGATACAGTAAATTTTCCACTGTCTCTGCTGAGGTTTTACCACAGGCATCTTTAGCTTTATTTCACAGCTCCTCAGCTATAACAATGGAAAATACCTTATTTTTTTCATACGTAAAGCATGTGGACGTAGCTTTGGGGGTAAGTCCTTTACTTGCACAAGTGTAGCAGTCTAGAGTTTCTCCAGCAGGGGGAGCTACTAGCATGTGAAAACTTTTATGAACCCACACCAGCAGGAGCTCATGAATGATATTAAAAAACGAAAATTAGAGAATGTTAAAATAAGTAGTGGTATTACTTTATTTAATTTTCATAGCATTTTCATTATTTGATTCTCATTAAATCAGTCAATGTTAAAAGTATATCAGGTAAAGCTAGAAAGTAGTTCTAAGCTTCAGCGGACCTTGTGTATGGGTGGTTACGTGGTCTGGGAGGTGGGTGGGGTATATAGTCCCGATTTAACAAGACAATTATGTGTTAGATATCGCCCAGACCTACCCCACACTCACGCTTCACACTCAAGTGACCCAATCCGATTTTTGTGTTTTCATAGATAATACAGCACCATAATTTAAATAACATCCGCAAGTGTGCTAATTAACACTACTTAATAATTGTGACATTCTGAACTGATACGTTTTGCTATTTGGCATTCATTTTATATTTTGTTTAATATTGACTTAAGATCAAATTTAGCAGCCCTGATCATTTGACTGAATTATTTGACTACTTCAACTGGTAACTACCAGTTTAACTACCAGTTGCTATGTGCACAGAGGTATATACTCTTCACATGTATCTTATTTTAAACTCAGATGATCTTGTTCCATTAAACATCATAACTCCAACTCATTCCATGTCAACTAATTTTTACTGAATGTTTACAACATATTTGAGACGTTCTTTCAGCAAATTCAGAAAATTCCCCACAAAAATTAAGTGCACAGACTCATGGCAAAACAGCATCGGTGAATGAGAGACCCTAAAATAATTCAATGCATCCAGAATTCCAGAAGCCCATTAAAGCCCCTTTAAAAGAACCATTTTAAGAGTGCACAAGTACAGTGAACTTTGGCCAACTTTATATTTCCCTTTAGCTTTCAACCTCATGCTTAGTCTTTGGCTAAAGGTGACCCAGACCTACAGCCATCAGTGGAACAACACAGTGTCCAATAGCATGGATTCCTCCAAAACTCTACAAGCCCATTAGGACCCTTTAAAGAACCCTTGAGAATGAATTCACCCAGACATGTGTCTCACTCTCTTTGATACACTCTCTTATATAAAGAATTCAGACAGAACTTTCTAGTTCAAGGGTCTAGTTCAGTTTCGTCATGGCCATGGGTCCATCTGACAACATACAGGGCCAGATTAAAGGGGAATTCCACAGATTTCTCAATATTTCCGCATGATTAAATGGTTAAGATGTAAACAGAGTCCTTCAGAATGGTTTGATGTGAAATGCCCCGTTTTAGAAAAACTTAGTCAGAATTGTTTACAGTGGTGGTGGAACCAGAAGTCCACCTCTAAAAGCTCCCTCATAGAAAGTTATTATATGAAATGATTATGAATACACTGCCTGAGACATTGTTTATGATCGTTTTGAGAGGGTTTACTGAAAGTGTATACTAACCCTCTGTGGTCTAAAAGCCTCACAATTTTGGTATATCTTCTTAAATTCTCAAGTCTCTTAATATAACATGATACCCATATTTTTCATATCACAATGCTCCGTTATCTTCATGACTACTTTTTAAAACCACTGCAGCAATTTCAGCAGCTGTAAACTCTCTACACACCATTTCACACGTGCCTCTGATGTGGACTGAATGAAGAATGAAGGGTTTCCGGCATGATGGTCAGTCCTTAGTGATTTCCTGAGTGTCCATTGGTCAGTTTCACACAGAATGTAGACAGACACACCAATCCACCAGTTCCACACGGTGAGAGGCGGATGACGTGTATCTCAGCCCCTCTTCATAGGCTCATAACTCCAGATGTGAGTCACGTGCGATCTTGTGTTGTGATGGAATGGAAAGGGCGACTCTACCGATTCAGGAAAAGTTTGAATTGTATTTCTGCACTGGATCATCACAAAGACAGAGAAACATGTATAGAAACTTCAAATTTGATGTGCAGGCACATTTGTACAACCAAAAGGGTTAAAACTCATTCATGATAGTGGCAGAATGAGAAGCAAAATAGTAATAATTCAATTTTTGTCATAATCATCACCATTCCATATTAAAGCTCAGAAGACTTGTGTAGGTTCACTGGTGGTTTTGGACAGTAGATAAAATGTCTATGTTTGTGTTGTAGCCATGGCGACCCCTGGTTCCTATCACCACCACCGTAAAGAATTCTGAACCATTTCACACCAAACCACTCTGAATGACTTCGTTTACGTCTCACAGACTGAACTGTGAAGAAATTTTGGTAGCACCCCCATTAACCTTTCATAGATATCGGGCGCTCCACAAACGGGTGGGCGGAGCATCTGAGGCTGAAACTAATATGGCCTTGACAAGGTGGATGAGGGAGAGTGGCATAACAGCAGGTTTGCTACTGACGTGGCATTGAGAGGTCGTCGGCAGGGCACAGAATCCCTAATGCAAGTTCCGGAGGCGGGGTCAGCCAATTCCACGATGACGAAGGGCCGCTCCTCCAGGGTCACCACCCTCAGGTGCTGAGCATCATCAGGTGGCTGTAGGAAGGGGCCGTAACGAGACCAAGCGGGGTATCGCAGGCGGAGCACTCCGTTCTCCCACCATCCTACCTGAGACCACACACAAACACACACAGGGCACACGGTAAGGTTAAGCGATGGGGGTGGTTATTCAAATGTATGCCTATCCAATCGCATCTTAGTATTTGTTTATTTAATCCAGCATTCAAATGAGATATATAGCTTGGAATAAAACATGAAAATATTGTAAAGGTGTTTGTGTAGAACTGCAGAGCCTGTGGCAAAACAAGCAGTAGATATTGTGTCTCACGCTAAGCTAAGCAGAAATGCATACAGAAATCAGGGATGTGCCGATTCAGTTATTTTGCTCCCTGATCTGAGAACTTTAATGCTTCTAAGTTCTACTATAAGACTACTAGAAGATCTCCCTGCAGAACTAATTAGCTTTATTTAAGGGCCTTTGAATGACTGTTCCCCGAAATCCAGAAACCCAGATGAAAACCCTGTCTAAAAGCAAATTTACATCTAAGAAAAGCACAATCTTTCATCAACAGAAGTGGACCACTGAATTTGGATGTACACGTTCTACTTGGAACACCATCAAAGGCCTCAGCTGACAGTTTCTTCTAAATGCTCTACAGCCCAAATCAGTGCAACAATGCAATAATGGAACATCTGAGTATTTTAACGTTGAGTATCAGCCGATACTGATCAGATACGATCCGACCTTTGTGTTTTTCATAGATAACTCTGCCACATTATTTAAATAACATACGCTAGTGTGCTAATTAATACTACAGTATAATTACTTCATTCATTGATATTGCATAGTGGTATATACTCTGCACATGTATCTTACATTTTGCTGTGAAATACTCATGTGAAATAATTATTTTCAGTACACTATGGTTGTATGTTCCTCTTTTGTCTGTTATGAACACACCGTAAATGCTAATTTAAAACGAGAAGCAGCACAGCCAGTGAAGCAGAAGGTTTCATCCATAGTTTTGTTTTCAACCGGTAGTGACTTGTGAGTGAAAAACGTGGTGGGTGTTTATTTTGTACATGTGTCTGGTGGCATGCTGCTCACAATAAGTGTCAAACGTAGACTTGAAGCGTAACAGCACATGCTCAAATTTTACATGCCAGTGTTTAGAAGCAACAGGAATCAAACACAATAAAACATTAGCATTGCAGATAACAGATAGCATTTACACAGTAAAACAGCTCCAAATTGCAAACATTTAGATCTCTCTGTCCTTCATTTTTCTTGTATTTCTGTTTTCCCCTGAGGTCCACTTTTTATATGTGTTATTTTATGTACCAGAAACTGTAACTCATTTCTACATGACAATTTTCCAACCTAAATATATGTATGTAAATAATCTCTCTTCTGATTAGCTTTATTGTGCATCGCTCAAAAAGCAGTTTGGACTGTCACACTCCTTGTAGCATCAGAGTGAATGGGCAGGGCTAAAATACTGTAGGCTGTTATTTTTATGAAGATATTTTATGCGTAGAGTAGTTTGGAACCGGGTACTGGATCACAGCATACCAGCATCTCTAGTAAAGCTGATTTAGTGGGACAATTACTGTTATAACTGTAGGCTGTTATGTTACATTTTATGAGTTTATTGAAAGGGAATACTCATAATGCTCACCACGGATTCTGTGTGGCCAGAACAACCCAAAAAATCACATTTTATGTGCGTTACTGTCCCAAATGCTACAAACTATATATGAGGTTTCTGTCACTGTTTATCGATGATGTGTTAAAGCAGTAATCTGGCCTTCAGTTTTGAGCATTTTGCTATCTCCTCATTCAGAGAGATGGGAGTCTGGTCTTGTATGGCTGGAAATGATCGCCTGGCGGCGTTGAAAAGATGGCCGCCGACTGAACAGACTTTCTTATAAGGCCTCTGGTTTGATCCACCACCCTTCTGGTTGATCGCTCACCTCTCCTACCAACTGAACTGAATTGTGCTTAACATAACTGTTAAATGAAATATTAAAACATGCTTGGACTGGCTCAGATCCTGATCCTTTGTCCTAACATAAATGTTTCAAACAAAAAGATGATAAATTTGTACAGTGCCAAGTTTTATATAAGTGAACATTCTGTAGGTCAGCTGGTAGTATGTTAAATCACACATACCTAAAACACAAGGACAAATCACAAAATCAACCCAATCATCAGGTATGTATCATGTCTTGTTAGCAGAGGCAACAGACCGCTGAATCTTTTTTATTCACAGCAGTATGCAATACTCTTGCTCCAATATTCAGTCACTATTCCTTCCTTACCCGTAACACTATGCCATTTTGTTGTACGATATTCAAACACTACTCCTTTAAAAATGTGAATAGTTAAAAAGGCTAAAATGCCGTCCCTAGTAAGGTCAAGCATTACATAGACAAAGTTAGTACCCTGACCCTTGGGTCAAGTGAAGGCTGCACCCATGAGAATATTCATCTGCGTCCACTTACAAGTACCTCCTCAATAAAAATGTATGTGCTTTTTTATTTTCGGTGAGGGAAAAAAGGTCCGCCTTGGACTAGAACGCTTTCATGCATTCACTCTCACTCTATTAACAATGAATCTCCTACACATGGAAGTCAGAGGTTAACCCCGGCCCATTAAATCTCATTTTAAAAAGGCTCGTTTTGGGGTGTCATTGAGGCAGGCACTTGGAGGGGAATGGGTCTGCTCTATGCCGGTGATCCTGTAGAGCGTGCGGAGGCAATAAAAAACAAGTGCCTCCTCAGTGCCTCTCCGCAGTCTCTCACTAGTCAGACAGTTGGGCCTTTATCGCTGGGCCTTTTCTCCGAAGAGGGAGCAGAGGCTTTCTGCCTGTAGAGAGGAGGAGAAACTCTTTTGCTAAGTGCTGGCCCATAGAGGAAAAGGTCACACAGACACTTGAGGGCTTGATTTACTAAGAGCGCTATTAAGGCCAGCTCATTTGCTTGTGCGGACGGTCGAAAACTAGCAAAACAGCGCTCTCAATTCGTCTTCGCCATGCTGGCGATCTGGCAACAATGACTGTGGATTACAGTGGCCAGAAAAAGACGCTCATTTGTATATGCAACCACTCACCTTTAAGCTTGATTTATTCATTCCCAATCGACAGAGTCTCAGAGGTCCACACAGACAAAGTGATGATAATTTACGCAAGAAAAACAGCCGGATTGGGCTGTCCAGCTTCAACGCAGCCCATCCCACGAGACATTCAGTACAGCTCAGATATATTTTACTCATTATGCACAGTCCATTTATAATTAGATAATAATTAGCCTTTTGTGTTTGCATAGCAAACAACTGCACTGATTTTTGTCACTTCTCCATACAGAACCATAAGGGCCTACAAGATCTCCCTGCAGAACTAATTAGCTTTATTTAAGGGCCTTTGAATGGCTGTTCCCCGAAATCCAGAGATCCGAACAAAAAAAAAGCAAATTTACATGTAAGAAAGGCAGAATCTTTCATCAAGAGAAGTGGACCACCGAATTAGGACGTACACATTCTAGATGGAAAAACACCATCAAAGGCCTCAGCTGACAGTTTCTATTAAATGCTCCACGACCCAAATGAGCGAAACAATGCAGTAATGGAATATTTTTTCAGCAATGAGACAAACAGCTGAAGAAATGAAAATCTTACAAGAAGACCGCCTTCAAATGTCAGCTCCGCCGATTAGGCATGAAAACCATTAGCCAGGTAACGAGTGGGCTAACACGATGAGATAACACCAACAGGAGCTGCGTGGCCCTTCAAACTGTCAGCTTGTGAATGCTGGAGCGCTACGAGGCTGTGTGTTTCCTCATTACTCCAGGCCTTGTGCGCCCGCCGCCGCATCTCCAGATCCGCAGCCGTCATACCGCTCAGATTTGCTGATGACACCACAGTGGTGGGTCTTATCAGTGACGGCGACAGAGCTGCGCGCGGAAAGCGGTGGTGTATCACCTTGCATCAGGGTGTGCAATCCTTCAGTAAATCACACTCGCCGAAAAATGGGTCAAACTGGCTGTCACTAGGAAGCTGGAGTTTTAGGGCTGAATGTGGAGAAGCGTTTGGGCCCGACAGCTCCGTACCCCATGAATGCTGGGTAGAAATCACTGAACAAAAAACAGCTTTACCACCTTACCTTTCCATTCTAGTCTGGCTATACTCACACATGACATGCTGTCCTTTTAGCTCACACTCATCATATTCTTTTCCAAACCATAGAAAAATTTTCCATGCTGTTTTAATCTAAAAGAGTTTAAAGTTGTACATTGTTCAATTTTCATTACACAGACTATACAGTCCAAATACAGAAACCATTAGGACTGGGTGATCAATAAAATTTTATTTTCAATTATGATTTTGGCTTCCGACGATTATAAAAAACAGGATAATAGAGATAAAATAATGATTGTGTCACATTCTGTTTCGTACTGATAGTCTTGTTTTGTCCTGTGTTATAAATCCAGTGCACCCCTTTCCTTTACAGTGAATCGCCTTCGCCCCTCCCTAAAAGCCCAAATTTGTGCAATTTATTTTACATACATACATACATCATCTAACCCGCTTATCCTTCTGGGTCGCGGAGGGGTGCTGGAGCCTATCCCAGCTGTCATTGGGCGGAAGGCAGGATACACCCTGGACAGGTCGCCAGTCCATCACAGTAATTTATTTTGGTCTAATTTATTTTTATTTGTTATTTTTATGTATGTTTATGTAGTTTCTGTAGGTTGTGGAAGTGCACTACAAGATAGTTGATCTTATTTGTTTTGATCTTATTTGCTTTTTTTTATTATTTATTCATTTTTATTTATTTAAATGTATATCTATTACTCATTTAATTAAATGAACTTGTTTTTCACTTAAATTATATTTAAAGTCCAAGGAAACCCAAAAGTTCAATAAATGCATGATGTTTCCAACAATGAGTAATCATGTTAAATAATCATGATCTCAATACTGACCAAAAATAATTGTGATAATGATTTTTGCCTTAAAAAAATCATAGCAGCCCTAGATACTATGCTACAAAACAGTCTTGAATTGTATTTTTGAATTCACTGTGTTTGTGATGTCACGAGAATCAACT